AGTTTAGTCAAAGAAACGCTGCAATAAAAGTCAATTTTGTGCATAATTTTCTTGCTCTAGACAATACGCATCTTACAAAAATGATCAGTTACATCCGTTTTACATAGCTTTTAGCTATATATTACTGACAAAAGCACCCCCCTTTATTAAATGCTTGATCTGCCACTGAAAAGAGATATTGTTCACATCTCCATGGCAACTTACCTGGAGATAAACCTCTTCTTTCCCATTTTCTGATTGCCACCACTGGCTGTTATCGCCATCAAAATTTGACAGCATATATTCTGGTAGATGTCTGAATGCAGGGTTTGTATAATTTCTTGAATCACAATAAGAACATTCCTCTTGTTCCTTCAGATTTGAGACCATACAGAAACGCTCAGGTCCTCTAAGACCACACGTTGAGCTCGCATATAATTTTTTTTCACGTCCAACCAACAAGTCTCCTGTTGCTGGATAACARCTTCTTGTTGCACATTGYGGAGATTGTGTATGTGTTGGTACTACTATTGAAACAAACAAACAAAAAACTCCATTTATGAAAGAAAAGTAAAGTTCTATCTGGAGACAGGAGACAGGGCCAGGAGAGCTGTTTTCTAAAACTCTTCTTTGTTTGCCTCTTCAAGGGTTGTCGAGACGCGGGGCCGAGGAGGCACAGGATTGTGGGGTACTGGCCCCCCACAAAACGGCATCGGCTTTATACATGTACATATATACACGCTTTTATAAATCGGTAAGTTTTTTGTAGCCAACAATTGTTTCTTTTACTAACTTGTTTCAATTATTGCTCATCAAGATATCGAAAAATAGTGGTTTTCTTTGAGTTACCGGCTGTCAACAGGAATAAGAGCTGTGAAATTTGATCCAATGTGAAACAATACGGCAGGGTCGAATAGCGTGATATCGAGAAGTTACGATAAATAATGACCTACAATGTCGATATTATGATCGTCTACTGATAAAAAAGGTCTAGAGAGTACATCTAAACAACGGTTCGATTTCTTTGCTATTCGTATTCGATTTGATGCAGAGTGGATTCTTGAAAGATTAAAACAACTATACCAAGAAGTTATTCGGGGAATGATACACTTAAAGACGAAGTTCAATACTTCAGATTTAAACAAACTTTAGTCCAAAAAGTCCAAAAGAATCAGTGATTTTTACTTGTTTCAAAAATAATTATTTTTTCACTGAATCTTTAAGTGATCAATAAAATTGCGCGCTATCAAACACAAGCGCGCGCACGGAGAATTCTTACAATCACAAAAAATTAAATACTTACTAAAACTACTACATATTGTTACTGCAAGAATTACAGCCTTCAAATCCATGGCCATTTTGATTTATATTTCGTGAATTGAAGCGTGTCTTTGACTTCAAAGTGCTGTAAGTAAGATAAGAAGAAGATCATTCATAGCGTTGTGTGACTTGGATTTCATGTCTGACCGTCGACGATTTAGATCAAGAGATTTAGGACTGTCAACTAGCTCTTAGAAATAAAAATTGCTTCTTTTTAAGACCACTTAGAGATGATTAATACATCTATAAAACTTACCAAACTCCTAAAAAAGCTTTTCAAGTACTCTTACGCCAAGAAATCACACCACGCTAATAGACTTCGGGACGGACGACAACCAAATCGCTGGCGGTCACAGAAATACGATCAATTTCTTCTCAGATGTCGGCCTCTAGCCCGCTCCAAAGCTATCTGTACGAAGCTGTACTTCTAGAAATGGCTCCAGAAAGTAGAGAAATCGYCAATCTAAACAAAYAAGGYAAGTAAACGGGCCAAATTCACCAACATCTAGAGATATGTGACATAATTCTTGATCTGGGAGCAGCGCATCGCCAAGGACCGGAAATACGATACGCGTGAATGAATCAACGGAATGTTAAGATAGACCAATCAAAATGCAGTAAAATTTACACGGGGATTTCTCTCGGGACTCCCAGACCACCACCAAATACCGAAAATTAAAAGTAAGTTCGAATTGCAAAATAGTTCCGTTTTAAGTTACAAACAATTGATATTCCAGAAGTCTGACGGATCGCAACATCTACGCCCAAAAGTATGTCGAAGAAGTTTCACGCAGTATCAAAGATTCCTAGATGAACTAAAATGAGGACCGGGTTTTTTTTCGATTTGCTATCAAAAAAATACTATTTTTTCGATTTTTTTGTATTCAGAAAGTTACTTTAGAGGAGATTTCCGATGAGCTGAAGCTAGTGGCCACAAAAACCGCATAGCCGGTGTTCCTTTCATCGCGACAAAAGGTCAAAAAGTCTCGTGCCAAATATCACAACAGTGTGAGTTTTAGATAACCGTTTACAGTTACCGGACTTACCAACATCAAGGGACCGAGGTCTTGGGTGTACAACCCGTTAATTAAAGACCTTTTCGCAATATCCCGGTCTGATGTCTGATCGACATGGTGCTGGCAAATCAGTGCGCTTGGTCACCTGGAATTCCGACAATCAAAAGAAGTATTKTTTGTTTCTTTGTGCAACATGTCGCAACCGTTTATGCTGTCCAGAAATTATCCCTTAAATATATAGTTCATATATATAGGGAATACGAATATTTCTCCAACAGTGAGCCGAAAGACGTAACAAAAGAAATATCGGCTTCTCTATGTTGCGTGGCGCATACGCCTGCGGTAAAAGCATGCGAGAGATTACGACAGATGATACCCTTGATTACGTTACGTATATTGCTACAATAACAAAATCCTCTGACCATTCCAACGCCAACAATCAACTCGAAATAAAATAATTCGCTTCGGGGCAAAGGAGCAGCGTGTGTCGTGTTTGGAATGGACTATTTGAAAACCGCGCGCTCCAGAACTCTTTACCTAAAAATTTCGAGGTTATTTAGGGGGATGGGTTGCGTGCTACTCATTCAACGTCTTTATCTAGCCTCCTACGCAGGCGTTTCTCTTCCTTTTCGGACTCTTTGGCTCCCTGTCCCTCCCTGACCGAGAGAGACTGTGATCCCGGTCGGCCAAAATGATACCGTAGGGATCCCGCAAGTGTAAAATGAAAAGTTGTTTGCGGACTAGGCACTCATTGTCGTAAAACGCGCGCAAATGATAAATATCCTTTTAAATGCTTTTGATATTCTGATATATTTTATTATAAATACAATATCGGTGAAGATTTTTAGGTGCATTTTCTTGTCTAGAAATCGTTTATAATTTATTAAAGGCAATCAGCATGCAGCCATGCGCAAAAGTAATAAAAATTGATAAAAACAAGAAAAGATTCTCAATAGATATTGCTCAAATTATTCATACAATCTATCTAATATAAATACAATATACTTCTAGTTCTATTTAAAATGTATGTATTTTACGGCCATTTCTTATTGATTTGCCATACACTGGCCTGRGTTTCATCCAGCGTTTAACTAAACCRGATGTACGCAGGCTAGCAATATACAGTCTTTCACGATATTTGCATTCACGCATTCACCTCGGTCCCACGACCTTTTCAAAATAGCGATAAGAGAAGGCACTGGGAACTTGGTTGAAACGCAGGCTCACTGTGTATATGGGCACAGGGAAACCAACGAATATAATCTATTTTGTTRCGCTATCATCATCGACAAAGCTAAATTTCTAAATAGAATCTGAACAGAAAGGTGTGCATTAAGGTAAGACAGCAGTACAATCTGGTTATGTACTTCTA